GCCGGGTTCTCACCGGACCAGGCTCTCACATCACCAAGCGCGAAGCGCCGTGAGATATTCGGCGAGTCGCATGAAGGGTGCGCTGCATCCTGCGAAGGGTGTTCGGCATCTTGTGCTTACTTTTCCTTGCGTACGGATAACAGCTGCGTATGACTTGATTTATTTTCTGGTGCTTTCACTTCCAGAGACAGTTCTAAGCACTGTGTAACTGCCTTGAGGGTGCTTGGCCATATTAACACAACGTGGTGCGATCATCCCCCTTGCGCGGAGTGAGGGTTCTCCACCTCGCACGACATGATCCACTTGACCACCATTATGGTTACCGCCAAAAAAAAAAGAGGTAAAAAAAAAACCGGTAACCTGGTTGCCGAGCTCACGAAGTGAAATGGCTTGTTTTACAACGTCGTTGCAAAGCGACGAAAACCCAATCCCAATGGCAAAATGGTTGGCGGGGGGTTGATCTTCGTACGCCATGGTCTTTGTTGTTCAGGGTTTGTCGTTTTACACTTACTTTTTTGTTCACGTCGATTCGCACGACGTTTTTAAATATTCACAAGAATAACAACCTAACTTTGATATTCGAGGTGGTAGGCTAACCATGTCGTGAGGCTCCTTGTTTAAGACCTCGTTTAATTGTTCATGTCGTTCGTACGACTTTCTGGAGTATCAAAACATTGCTTAACTTACGTCGGTGGAAATGTATGGATTTTTTAGGTTAGTGTCGCATCTTTGTCGTGGTCATCATCGCTGTCGCTGTCGCTATCGCTTTCGTCGTCGTAGTTGTAGCTCCTGGACCGGTCTGACCTCTGTCCAGTACCTCCGTGTCGATGTTCTTCGAGGCGAAAGAACGGGTTCCCGTTGTCCTCAGCTGGCCGCAGCCCTACTGCAATATTGTCGTGAGGTTATGGAAGTGTTTCATTTGTGTACGGCTCCGGCATCGCGCCGTAGACTGCGGCACTTTGCATGGGGTGTAAGAGCTCGAAGTGAAAAGCTGAATGCCGTTGATACTGTTGGCATTCTTGCTCTCATTGTTCAGGTTCACTTCCGCGCTTGGCGTCACAGGCAGGCGTGGTCGGCTGGTTTACCAACACTACTGTTGTGCCGGTCATTGGTAGAGTTATTGCCAAGAGGACTTTCGCACTGGAGTGGTGGGTGGGTTGACTGTGAAACCTCCCCATGTGCTCGTCGTCTGGAACTGTTCTGTTTCGATTTGCTTTCTCCAGGAGGAGTAAGCGGATGGCCTTTCCTACTTGCTGTAATCAAGAACGCGTGCTTTCATCTGTGCAACAAGAATGCTCTGAGACAGGCGCTCTATTCGTCTACGAATAGTAGAAGAACTACGTAGTGTTTGTGGTATCAATTGTGGACGTGCACAACCAATTTTAACAACAGTTTGTTTTGGGAGAGTGCGTGATGTACAACATGTACCAGCTCTCTGAAATATCTACAAGGACGGGAGTGATTTTCGTTTATCGCCAGCACCTTGAATGTCCCCCATCTCTACCTTATCCCACCCTACCCTCTTTCCTCCTCTCTGCCGTGCCCAGAGAAAGTTGCTCAGTTCAAGCTCCCGGCTCAGCGTTGTGGAAGGTGGCATTTTAGTTGATGTTTTCGAAAACACTCAGCTTCTTCAGTGAGCCATCCACCATCAGCCACAAGCCAATGGCTTTCCTTGCCTCTCTTGATCCGGGAGCATTATTTCTGAATGTGCCTGGTTCATGTCGATCTGCCACCAGAGACGACGGAAGCCATATCCTGCCGCGCCCGCTGCTCCCCGACACGCCAACTGCACGATTTGCACCAGTGTTTCGGTCGCTGCCGTAGTGGTCTTCTTCGACGTGATGGTGACGTTCGGGCTCCCAGGTCCAACACATGCTCCGAGGTCCCCGTTTACTCTATATCATGGGTGAGGAAGTGGGCGCCGTGTGTGAATTCCTCGATGGACTGCATTCAGCCTTTCCAAGATGGTTCACTTCTCGAGTTTTTCCGTGACGGCGTGCGAAAAGCACCCCCTTCTGCCTCTCTCGTTTGCGGTTGTTTTTAGGTTTGGACACGGCTTGCACCAACCTTGAACGGGGGCCGACTGCGTACCCGTGGACCAGATCGTTACAGTGGCCCCTGCACGTTCGTGGTACTTGATGTGATGCTCACTCATCTGTATTTAATTTGTTGCACGTTTGGTGTGCTGAACCCTTGCGCTTGTCACAATCCCGTCGCCCCCCCTTCGCTCTCGCCTCCGTAGCAACGTGTTCTGCATTCAGGCTTTTGCCGGCGATCTGGTCGAGTCCTTGGAGTCCTCTGGAAGCTCGTCTAGAGATTGTGCTGCGCTACCCCGGCATCATCCGTTTCAGGTGTCTTTGTGGGCACCCGATTTCACATTGTGCAACATGTTTTCCTGGGCTAGGCGGGTGAAACACGGGTGCGATTGACTCTCCTTTTTTCTCTCCCCCAAGAACCAAGCATTCTGTACCGTGGCAGACTCACCAGGCGAGTGTGGTGCAGTTGGTGCTGAAATCCTAATACAAGGTATTCTGGGAAGCGGCGATGGAGAAAGCGATTGGTGGTCACGACGACAAGGCGGGGACATTCACAAGAATTCGCAGGCTACCCATGGGGCTGAGGGCATTAGTTCCGCGTGGATTTTCTCGTACAAGGCGAACGAGAAGTGACTGATCGTTGATTCCAAAACACGTATGGTTGCGCGTTGGCTTCACCCTAATCCCCGGTGCAGACTATCACCACTCATCCTCAGCATGCCCGTCTGCAGCATCCACCAAGACAGTGGTTGCCGAAGCCACGAAAAGAGCATGAAAACTGTCCGAGAAAATCCGCATCGCACTAATGCCCTCCGCTCCGTGGGTGGCCTACCAGTGCTTGTGAATGTCCCCGCCTTGTCGTGACCACCAACCTCTTTTCCCCACCGCCGCTTCCGCCACCGCCACCTGGGCGGCCGTTGCGACCACCGCAACGGCCACGTCCAGACGACTGCACCCTGCGGCCGAGGTAGGTCTGCTCGCTGCCCCGCGCACTTTTGCCTTTCCCCGTCTGCAGCCTCTGGCGGAGCGCCTTGTACTCGATCGTGACTTCCTCCAGGACATCGTCTCAGGTCAACGTCTGCTTGGGTCGCAGGGCATGCTTCGTCATGGCAAACTCATCCGAAAGGGAGTCGAAGAAAAGGTGGAAGACGAAAGTTTCGTCGATATTTTTTTTTTGAGAAGGACTTGGCGGGGCCTCTTGTGGCATCTTGTTCAACGCATGATGAAGATTTTCAGCAGTGGAGATCTTCGTTGAGGTAAGCGGCTTTAGGTCGGCTGCCGGTTCCATGGATGATTCTGGTCATACATGCCTACTAGCTCTAGAAGCGCTATCTGGGGTGTCTCCGCGCCCTCTTCATGATATTTTATTCACTCGTCTTTGTCAGTGCATGGTCAAGAAGTTCCATGCATGAAATGCCAGCTCTAGTTGGTAGCGTCCGTGTTTCTGGCATTGCAAAACTTGCTTCTTCCACTTGTTACGGGGATCTCCAAATTCCCGCTCTCTGCAAAGTGGTTCAACAGCATAGCACCATTTGCCGCCGTACGTCAAAAGCCATGAGGTTATGAAGGTCCTGAACCGTTGAATGGGGGGGATGCATATCGGCACTTTGGTGTCCTGCACCTGCAGTTGGAACACCTATACCGAAACCACCAGAGCACGACCTCAAATAGTGCTGCTGTAACCACCTTGGTCGTGAGCAGCAGCTACTCTCACCTCTCGGGGGTCAAAATCCCCCGCCGCTTCGCCGCTGTGTCGCCCTTGCGGGCCGGACTCTCGAGCCGGAACGCGCAGGTATTCGTCTCTGCGCGCGCTCTCGACCTGCGGTGCCCCTCCATGAACAACGTACCGCAGGCGACCCGGCTATGCTCTCCGCGTCTAGCAGCACCCTCCTTGGCACTGCCGGACCCCTCCGTCTCGCGTGGTGATGCCAGACCTGTCACCAGCATCGTCAGCTGGCTGACCTGCTCCGACAGCTATAACATTTAGCCCACTTTCAGGCTTGTGGCCTCCTGTGAGTCTCGCACCGTGGGATCGCCGGAGGGTCACTCACTATCTCCGTCTTCGCGAGGTTGCCATAGACGACCGGCCATTTCCTATGAACTCCCCCGAAGGCTAGTTTCTATTGTGCGTTACGTCGAAGGGGAAGCCTCGTATTGGCTTCCTTATTCGACACGCAAGGGGAGCGATGAGGGGTGGGCCCACCATGGAATTCGAGGGGGGCCCACACATGGTATCCATACGCCCCTGTCCACGTCCCTCCGCTGTGGCCGTTACGTAAGTCTAACCAGCCCGTATCCAAACGTACGAACAAGGGGGACGCAAAACGGATTATAGGGAAGGCATGATCAAGGTCGTGCGTAAACACACTCCCCGGCTTCACGGTGACCGAGGGAAAGGGATGGCTGAACCCGTTTCGTGATAAAAAACTGACACATGAAAAAAGCTCCTTTCTGTGTGACCATTCTCTTGCGTGACCCCGGCTGATACGCTGATACGTCAGGTACAACCGTGGTCTACCAAGCCTTCCGTGTAGAAAAATCACTGCACTAAGGCGAGCCTATCATATGAAGACTTGAGATATCGACGCCTGAGCGTGTGAAAGGGGATGCGGTGTGGCACTCATGACGTTTTAGATTTTGGATGATGGCCATGTACTACACGCCAATCGAAACGGCACTCTTGCCGAGTACATGTGCACACCATTCCGCAAGAATGGTCCAAGAAATAAGAGAGGCATGAAAAGCCTTTATCTTGTGGATGATGGTGGATGACTTACTGAAGAAGCCGAGCGCTTTCGAAAAATACAACCAAAATGCAACAACGCTGAACCGGGTGCTTGAACCCAGGAACTTTCTCCGGGGACGGCACAGATTCGACAACAAGGTAACGTACATCTTCTACATACTACTCGTAGACCAACAGAGCGGCTTTCTCAGAGCGTTCTTGAAACCCATATGAAAGCACACGTTCTTGGATACAGCAAGTGGGAAAGGCCACCCGCTCCACCCGCTCGCTCCTCTTGGAAAAAAGCAGTATGAACTAGAACTGTTCCAGACGAACACATGGGGGGTAGTATTATAGTCAACCCACCCGCCACTCCAGTGCCGATGTCCTCTTGGCCATTCAAACAAAACTCAACCAATGACCGGCACCAGTGTTGCTAAAACAGTCGAGCACACTTTCGTGTGACGCCGAGCGCGGAAGTGAACCTGAAAAATGAGAGCAGCAATGCCAATCGTATCAACGGCATTCAGCTTTTCACTTCGGGCTTTAGATTCCATGCAAAGTGCCGGCGCGATGCCGGAGCTGTGCACGAAGAAAAAGGCACGAACTTCAATGACCTCACGAAAACGTTGCAGCAGGGCTGCCGCTAGCTTCGGACAACGGGAACCCGTTATTTCGCCTTGAAGAGCATCGAAACGGAGGTATTGGACAGAGGTCAGACCGGTCTAAGAGCTACGATGACGACAAAAACGACAGCGACAGCGACGACGACGACAAAGATGCGCTGTTAAGCACAAAAAATCGTCAAGTTCCACGAACATGTTTCAAGCAATGCTTTCATACTCCGAATCCGCGAATGACATGAACAACCACCCGGGGCCAAAATAATGCATCTTACACTAAGAGTAGGCCAACATGAAATCTTTGAGTGCGAAATCACGTTAACAAAAAAATACATATAGTCTAAAACGACAAACTCTGAACACCAGAGACCGTGGCGTACAAAGATCAACCCCCGGCCAACCACTATCAACACGTCTCCACCAACACGACCATTTCTAGCTAGTTTACAGCAGTTCCTCTTCCAGAAGCCCCTCGTCATTCGCGAACACTGCCGCGATATCCAACAGATCCGCGTCAGTCATGTTCATCTCCGCCTCCCCTGACACCACGTCTCCTCCCCACCACTCGAGCCCGATCTTTGGGCTACCTGGAGCGCGAGCGCCAGTGCCACTGCGCGGCCGCTCGCCGGTAGCGGCCGCATGCAACCAGTCGGCATGCCGAACATCGCCGGCTTCACCCTTTGCAGAGTATACCGATTCCGGGATGAGCGTGGCCGTCGCCACCAGGCCAGGTTGCAACGGCATGTCTCCAGCAGACGCACCGTCATTTCCACCGCCGTCTGGCATGAATGTCGGGAAGGTGTGCGGGGGCGCGGGGAGCGGTGATGACACAGCAGTGACACCTGTGGCCGTCGGCGGCGGCGGCGGCGGCGACCTCTGCTCCCCGCTTGCCAGCCCCGCTGGCGGCGGGCCACTGCTCTGACTGTCCGATCCGCTGAGGGTTGAGTTGAACAAGCCGGACAACGGCTCAGACGTTTCGGGGTCCTTCGGAGCGGCGTTTGCCTGCACAAGACCTTCATCGAGATGTTGGTGGAGTTCCACCTCCAGTGACCTTTTATCCGGAGTGGGGAGAGAGTGTGGCCCAACCCACAGCAGAACAACGGATAGGTTGGAACCCGAGGGAAGGCAATAGGTCAGTACGAAAACTGAATCCATGCGGGCCGGAAGTCACAGGTAGACTTAAACAAACATCGCAGGGAGCAAAGGGTGTCAGCAGAGGCGTGGCGGCCATCATTGTGTTCGTGTGATGAGCAACCGAATGACACGAAATCACAAGCACCGAATGGGCGCAATAGGCAGTCACAGCAACCGGATCCTTGTCTACAACACCAGGTGCCTGTTGAGCAAACAGCAACTGTACGGTTCACAATCGTGCACATGGTCAGTCATACCTGCATAAGATGTGGGGGCAGACCTGACGAATCGTCCTCCATTCTTCGTAGGGTGGGGCTTGTGGATATCCCATCGGACCCACGGAGTTGTACACCCTCTTCATGGCGTCGTACATGTCTCGCCGATTGAAAAAGTGGCTCGCAGCGAGCATGCAGTGTATCAAATGAGACCTGCGGGAAATCATGGATCACCGCAGACAACAATATTGTCGTGTAGCTTAACATATTGGCGAGAGAAAGCACGCACAAAATGGAGGCAAGTGGTGCGCCACGGCGAGACACATGACACCCTCACGAACAAATAACGGGTACAGTAGGCTTTATTACGTACCTCCTGCTACCGCTACAACCACAGTCGCTCATAAGCCGGTGTAGCGGGGACCGAAAGCATTACCACATCATCTCGCGCGCGTCATGTTGGCAAACACTCTCGATTGTTAGTCGGGAAGTGGGCAAGCGCACCCAAACACTGCCGACATCCACACAAGACAAACCAACCAAAGGCACACGCGCGACAATCAGGCGAACAATCGACTGGAGAGTGCGCCAACCCCTCATTGCTTCACGCGTACAACACAGGGGAATACCATGACAAAGGAATGAAAATGTGCTAACAAACACACTTGAAACGGACGAGCCCGGGGTAGCGCAGCACTACGTCTACGCAGGCCTCGAGAGACTCGAACGCCTTGACCAGCTCGCCGGCAACAGCCCGCATGTAGGCCACGTTGCTGCGGAGGGGACGGCAAGGAGGGGCGATGCGAATGCGAGAAGCCCAAGGGTTGGAGCACACGCGCACGCGCAATAAACGAAGGACACACGGGCGAGCATTTCGGGCAGTGTAGCACATGAAGGGGGTCCTAGTGTCTACGGATGGACGGAGCTGGCGCCTGTGTAAAGGTTGGCACATAAGCCATGAACGAGCCGTAGCCGAACCCAAGAACAGCAGCTAATGAAACAAGCAGAAGGGGTGTTGTTCGCACGCAGCCACGGTAAATGCTCTTGGAAACGCCGGAATGCTGTCCGTCGAGGATTTCAACCGACGGCCCCCACTCACTCACCCGTGATAGAGAACACCACCGACGCCCGAGCACGTGTCGGAACTGGTAGCCCGAAGGTTCAAATAGCGGCAAGATTACAACCACGGCAGCGACAGGAGCAACGGCACGGATTGTGCCGTCCGTGTCCCGTGGAGCACAGGGCGCAAAAAGCAAGCGTGGGCGAAGGTGAAATCGCATCAGCGTCACTGGTTAAAAGCTACACGGAGCAACACGTTACAAGCCAACAACAGGCATGCTTTTATATTTGGTCTATCGCGAAAACAACGAGAGAATTCTCTGCAAAAACGCCAAGCGCGGGAAATGCTTCGGCTTTTTGAGCAATGTGCTGGAAGGCATAGCGGTGAGTGTCGTACCGGTAGGCTCAACTCACCATGGCCACCATGGTAAACGACCGATACACGAGGGCAAATACTTCCTCCAACCTTGTTCGAACCTAGGCGGTGCCAGTGCGATATCAAAATGTGGTGCGGGCTTGTTTGAGATTGCGCCAGAACTGATGAACCACCCTGCTCGTCGCACCCCATCCACGAAACAATGAGCTCTTGCAGCAATCGTCCGCCATATTTTCCCCTCCGCCGTCGCCCACCTTTCCAGCGTCTTCGCCAAGCTCGTCATCTCTGGTAGAGCTTCCTGGATGAGGAGCTTCATAGCGGGCCCTGCCGGGGGCACGTCTGGTTCACGGTGCACCCGGTTAGCTAGCTCTTCGCCCTCCCAAGTCACGCCCGCATTCCACTCTCGTTTGCCACCCTCCTCCATCACCCCGCCGCCTCCCAGCTCTCGGTAGGAGCCGCCGAGAACAGGCTCCCCATTCTCCTCGTGGGGTGCCGCGCCTCCTCCCGATGCAGTAATCGCTCCTGCCGACATCATGTCAGCGACGAAGGCCCGGGTGATCAGGCTGTCCGCCGCAAGGAACGCGTTGCTGACGTCCGTCGGCGTCAGGGGGTGTTGAGCCTCCCGCACCTGCTAGCGCACGTTGCGATTGTTCGCGTGTAGTACCGCACGTACAACGGAAGAAACGCACGAGGGATTGATCTAGGCTTGATGACGTCATTCAGGACACACAGCCAGCAGTACGGCCCACTGAAGCGTGGAAACCGGGCGCATACCCTGTGGTCATGAACATGAACCACAAAAAGCAGTTGATGACTGAGTGGATGGAGTCTACACGGTCAGCCTTCGTGCAGTGTTTTACCTGCCGACATGGCATGCATAACAACGACGCATGGAAATACCAGCAATTGAGACTAGATCCAAACCCAGCAATCCTGAAAATCCAACATGCGAAACGTCACCCACCTACCCACATAGGACCAAGAGGCCAAACGGACCCGACGAACCAGAAAGAGGCCAGATGCAAACGGTTCACGAAATTAACCATTTTGTTGGGTATCCAGCTGTTGTTTCGCTCACCCGGGGTAGCTCCACGGCCTCGTCGCAGGAAGTGCTGAGATCGTCCCCTGGCTGCGGGTTACACGGGCACACCCTCAATTTGTTCGTGGTCACCAGCATTAGCCCCAGTTCCTGCGTGGCCATCGGGGTAGGAGGGCCTCAACTTCCGACAATCAATGATGCTCGATGCGCCGAGGACAGCCAAGCCTACGAGCAACGCCCCATTGTCACTGGCAATGATGGTGTGAGTGGCGTGCATGAGCGGGCGGTGACCTGCCCGCCAGGCACAACACCAACACCAGCATAGGCAACATGAACAGGTCATGCGATGGAAAACCACATATATTGGGCTACGACACACCCTCTGCCCACTGTGCCATACATGCACCATATCTTGCGCTAGTCACCTTTGGCACGTCCTCTGGTCGAAGCTTGGACACGATATTCACCGCGAACGACAGATAGCGCTCGTTCTTGTCCTGCTTATCGGCAGCACAAACGACAAGCGTGCACCGAGGAGTGAACGTCAACTAAACATGCACAAGCGTGGACACACCGAAGAACGTCAATAGCACAATGCTGTAGAGGAATTACCGATACGCGGCAGAGCCCACCGACAAGGAGGAACGAGAGGTAAACAAGAGTTTGACCGGTTAGGTCAGGGAGAAACTAAGGTCGAACCACAAGACACCTACCACTTGAAGAACGGCGATGAGGAGCGGTGACGGTGTGGACTCGACAACAGGTGTGGTGAGTGAACTTCATGAAGGGCCCTACGAGCAATGGTTCTCAGCGGTAATCANGGTCAGGGAGAAACTAAGGTCAAACCACAAGACACCTACCACTTGAAGAACGGCGATGAGGAGCGGTGACGGTGTGGACTCGACAACAGGTGTGGTGAGTGAACTTCATGAAGGGCCCTACGAGCAATGGTTCTCAGCGGTAATCAAGGGCGTTACCAAAAGCCTATCAAGCGGTGACAACCGTTCCATTCAAGGAGTTGGTTGAGCTGGTTGGGCGTGGAATGTAAATTGTGCGTTTGACTTGCCTTATCGTGAATGATGCTGTGCAAGAAGGACATGATGAGGTAGGCTCTGAGAGGCGCGTCCAACGGCGGGCCGTCGTATGAGTGACGAGTGGAGGCCCAACATTAGCAAGAGGCCAAGGGAAATGAGCAGCGGGGGTTGGGAGGAAGTTACGGGCGGGAGAACCAACGCGACATGCGAACGACTCATTTGAAGCCAACATCAACCTCAACAACACTAACATCAACAACATCAACACCACACACAGAAAGAATGACACACCCCGAATTGGAAGTAGCGGAAAGAAAGCAAACAGAAACATAACCTCCGCAACTCTTGCTTCCACCAGCCCGTCTTCATCACCTGGCGTGTTCGACGCTTCTCCCGTCAAAGCAATCAGCCAGAGACTCCCGCGCCAACTGGACGTACCCCGTCACCTGTCGAGAAAAAAGTACGAGCAGTTGTAAAAATTCTTATTGAATTGTAAACGGTCGAACACACTCTTGTGGACTACAGGTAGGGCGCTAACCGATTCGAACATGGTGTCCCACAAGATTAACGCTTTCACCCTCCCGCTAACGCGCAATCATCACGGTTTGTTGATAATAATGCATCCCTCAGAGACACATAATGTATGCCCTCAGGTTCCACTTGTGATTGTTGTCGATTTTCGGGGCCAGTCGCCCTTCCCGCCGTCGCGAAACGTGGCTTCTCGTGATGGTTGCAACTCTTCGCTTGTACCAAGTGTGATCGGCGCTCGAGGGCTGTATATTCGACCCTAACTAACCCATCCCTGTGCAGGAGACATTGACATCAAGACAACCCACACCCAGGGCGTACCAATCCCGAATGGAAATACCAGTCGTGCGGCAACATGAATACGCATGCATCTTATCCCTCGACCATAAATAGAATAGTTGGGACGGGGCGGGTTGCTTTAAGGGGATGCTGCTTAACGTCGTTCGGGTTGTCGGCTGCTCGAGACTTGGTCGCGACTCACACGCTCAACCGGAACACCCCTCATGAGCGCCCCCAGCGCGATGGCGCACCACATCATGCACTTGGCTGGATGGTCCGGTAGAGTATGGCGACGAGCCAACGCCCCACCGCCACACCAGCCCTTCTCCTCATCCTCGGCTAGTCCTTCCATCCCGGAGCCACCGGTTCTGGAGTACGCCTGGCCGCCGCACTGCCGCATCATGACCTCCACCATCGCGTTGCGAACAGTGCTACAAAAATAGGAATAGTCCACGGAAGCACGGGGAACGAAGATGGGGGGCGAGGAGGCCGCTCATGTTGGAGTGATTAACGATATGCCAATCGCATCCGCAGCGTAGGTAGTAAATCATTTTACCTTTTGCGGGAGGTCCGGCGTATGGTAGCTGGGGAGAAGCGAGGGCGGCATATGTGCAGATACGTGAACCATTCGGCTCACCTCCCATACATCAGGGTCCAACAAAAAAAAATTAAATATCCTCGGGCGGAGAGAGACATCAAAGCAAGCGTAGATAGATATGGATGGAGCCTACGTCACCACAGAGGTCACCAGTGCACACACTCACACCTCGCCCGACACCAACAGTCAGTCAGGGGATGACGAAGAGCGCTGTTTAGCTCTGATAATCATCAGCTACATGAAGCTGCAGCAGCCGCAGCAGCAGCAGCAGCAGCAGCAGCAGCGGCTGCAGTTGCTGCTGCGGTTGCTGCTGCGGGGCAGGATGGATGTGCGCTTGCTTTCGTCGCTTGCGCTGCTAACAGCGGGCGACGGGCACTCAAAATCGTCCCCGATGCCTCCTACAAGTGTATATTTGGCGGCCCTCGGCCTACAGCGTTGTATACGTCTCACGGCTGTCTCCGTTTCGGGGGTGCTTCTGTGGTGGCAACAAAGATTGGCCTGCAGACGAAGAGAGACAGCAGAAATATTTGGCTTGTGTGCACTCGCATGCTACTTCGCTTGCGCAGCTAGTAGCAGGCCTCGGGGTCTCAAAATAGCTTCCGACGCCAGCCATGATGTGTGCCTTTGGCCGGCCTTGGCCTACAGCAGTGTGTACGTCTCGTTGTCTGTATTTTGGGGATGCGTCTATGTGGGAAGCTCCAAAGATCGGTAGTTTGAGAATGATGCAGGCGGAAAGCAGGTTGACTTGCGTCGGCACTCGCTTGTGCTGCCGACAGCGGGCAACGGGCTGTAAACGTCACACCCAACGCCTCCTGTGATGTGTGCCTTGGCTACCCTTGGCATACAGCAGTCCGTATGCTGCTGAGCTGGCTGTCTCGTCTGTTGTCTGCTTGGCGTTAAGTGGTGCTGTGCAATAGCATTTCGGTGATTCTCCCGAGAGTGCCGTGCGCATCGCTCAATCATCTGTCTCTGTCTCACAAGATGTCTTACAAAATCGACGGGTGATTGGTGGGAGATGGGTATCTACCCGGCTCTACCCGTCTAAAACATAGATAATTGTTGAAAGTTCTTCCTTGTCCTACAAAAACATTCCATCATGTATGGGTGCTCGGCCCATTCCGGCGACCGTTGTGGAAGCGCAACCCATCCAGACTCAAGCGTGGGTCACAAAATGTCCCCACAGCAGCATGGAGGGTCTGAGGCGGCGAGGAGAGGGACCTTGCTGGGCTTACCTCTCGGTCGTGAGGGGAAGGATACCCAAGCACCCGAAAAAGGCGCCCAAGAAACCGTTCTCCTGCATGCCCACGAGACCTGTAGCGGGTGACGCGCTCAGCCTGCACCTGGTTGTTTTGTGCGGTATTGGACGCGACAACAAGGACGGCAACATATATCATATCAAACCGAAGGACGCAAAAAGTTTTTCGGTCGGAGAAAAAACAAATCTCACTGTTGAGAGGGTTGATCATGTGAGATGCTTTTCTTGGGTGCGGTGAGGGGGCTCTAGCCCTGGCCCAAACTCCAATCAAATCTCGATCTCTCTAACTTGTTGGTAATACTACACCAGGGCTGAAGCGTATATCGGTGGCCGCTACCGTCGTGCACCCGTCGTCCGAAACGAACCGCACTCGTTGTAACATAAGTGGCGCGCGAAGTGCTCCACCGGCACGCCTGAATCACCAGTCTGAATCGACAGGGGGAGTAAATTCCTGCCGTAATTGCTATGGGGAAAACCCTTTGTACTGGGTCATCCTCGACATTTCCCTAGGATCTTTCGCGAAAACCAAATTCGTCACGACTCCAAACGTGCGAGAGTGACTTGACGCGCCTAATAAAACTGTCAGTGACTATCCCAACCCACCCAAACAAGCAACAAAAGTACGACCCAGCGTATGCAAAACAACGGCGCTTTCCAACAAGCGACTCCAACGGGTTTCAACAACTGCAAAGGGAAAATCCGGAGTCATGTGGGGCATATACTCGAAGATCCTCTGCGATATACGTATGCATGTAACGTCAACCTGCACCTCTTGAGAGACATGCGACCCCGCACAGTCGGCATGCTCCGGGTGTCGACGGTCGCTAGCACGCTCCCCGCGCCATACGAAGCAACCTCGTGAGCTTCGGCCAGCCGCTTGGCCTTACTGGCATCTCCCGAGGAAATGGAGCAGTCGGAAGACGAAGAGGACGAGGAGGACAGCCGTCGCGCCGCCGTTGGCTTTGCTGCTGCCCGCTTCGGCAGCGGTTTCAACGGGTAGTGGCAGTGCGGCTGATTCTTCTCGATGCAAAGGCTTGCCACCGGCAGGCAGGACACGGGACAATGTTTACAGACGGGGAGGAGGGATGCTGCACACTTAGCGGGTGGAACCAAAGTAACGTAGGCGGGCCGATCGAAAAATATGACGAAGACCCGATGAAGGATGGGAACCGAACGACTGCCGTGGTACGGATAACGCACGTGATCGGTGAAAAAGAGACGCGGGCAAGGAAGAGGGGAAATACATGACAGTAGTGGTTGCACCGCATACAGCATTACGAGAAAGCACGACGGGGGTAAGCGAGCAGGTCCGCAGACAAACCTGAGTGCAGGATGTGGTGCAATCAGCGTCCTCTAGTATTTCTAAGAGATCTAGGTATATACCAAAATTAGGACAGGATGAGTGGCCTTTCTATATTAAGAGCAAGAGCAAGTCTATGGGTTAGGGAAGTTATTCGATGAGTTATGGAAGTTTGCTTATAGGATACCGAGGTTGTAAGGGTTCTTGATCCAGAAGTCAGTTACGTTGGAAGAACCTCAGATTAAGAAGGGCAGCAGGCGAGTAGATCATGGGAGATTTCTTTTTAGCTGGGGAATAACGGGATTTTAGGAGAATAATTGTAGTCTAGGAAGGGACCACCCAAGCAGTTGAGAGGTGCCTCACGCACCCCCTATGGGTGCAGTTCCCCACTCCGGATAAGAGCGACTAATAAGTCCAAGGAGTTTACCAAGACAAAAACACAAGGCATACCCTCTACTTGCCAGTGGCCACGAACATAACCCGACTTTCTGTCTAGTAGAATGACACGGAGCCCCTTCCCACGACAGTGGCGTCGACGGAGAGATAGAAGGGCCCGGAGCCCCTTCCCACGCAAGGACGAGGCAAACTGTCTGGACACCCCGATCCCCATCTTATGGTTGTCTACTGCACACTGTTCCCGCAACGTTTTTCTACCCAACAAAATATCACATGTTCTACGCACACTGCAGTAACGTCCCGCGCAACTTCATCGTCCTAACGAGTAGAGTTGTACTCCGTGCTTCCACCGTAAGGGCGTCCAGGAGCGTCAAAATCATAAACTGTATCGCAGCGGAAAAACGCTCATTTTGTGGGCACGTTCTTCAGTTTCAACAAAGTAGTGGCGCCGAAGGAGCGAGATCCCACCAGACACCAGGGCATCCTGGCTGGGTTCATTCGACGTCATGAGTTCCTATGTGCACTACTGCTGTACTGTAGATATAGGTGCATGCTGGGAGGCCGAATTTCCATCTCCACATGAACGTGTTGTGACCCGTGGGGTGTACATGTGTACATGACTTGTCTGAGCGAGGGTCCCCTCGCGTACCTTGCAAGGATTTACGAGTCTACGCACGATCGTGCCTAGAGTATCACAGCGAAGACGTTGGGAATGACGACGACGGCAAACCCTCGCAGCACAACGATCTCGTAGGGTCTACTGGCAGCCTAACAGTTGCCGGCTTTACCTCGGCATGCGCATGATCAGAGTCCTCAGCAAAGTACTTCGATACATCACACCGACACCCTCTGCCCCCAGACCCTTCCATATTTGAGTTTGATTCTTACGTAGAAGGTATGCAGCAGCATAGTAGCACGCGGCGGTGGAGACTTCGAGCATGCGTGCAGCGAACAAACACACCCTTCATCTTGCCCAGTCCTACCGATCGGGCAAGGTCAAGAGCCTGCGGTAGGTACTCAAAGCGCTGACTTGTACAAGAGTGTCCGTCCAGGGTCCAGGAGAGCCGAGGAGGGGCAGAGTTGGAAAACGGCAAGCAAGAGTGCAATGGCCCTCCTCAATGTACAACATTACCCAATGTACCTGCATCGAGGTCTCCGACTATCACAGGAACGCTTCCGTTTGGCGCAGAAGGTGCAGCTCTTGTAAGTATGTCGCGGGAGGGCTGCCTCCACCGACGCCTCCGCAGGTGTTGCCATGTAGGCTGGCTGCCCTGCTGGCCGGGCTAGACGTTGCATTCCCTCCATCACCGTGGGTTCTTGTGTCGTGGCCAGCATGACATCGAAAGTCAAGCCTCCGGAGCGATCCATTTGGCCGTTTCTCCAGCGGCCTGGTCCTTCACAGACGGCTTGGGGAGAGAGACCAAGACGCTACGCTACGCTAAGCTGCGGGGGTAGAGGCGACGCTGATGAGCTGGTGGAGGGGGACGCGGGCTAACCCTTTCAATCCCGAGAACCTTTCCAGGAACTGTTCTCCGCCCGTTTTGATTGGACAATTACAGGGGGCGGACACAGGTGCGAGGAAATGCTGGGCATGACCAAGAAAGGGCTCGCTGAATACTCGCTGTAGTTTATGGAGTGAACTCTGCCAAACCCGTGCGGCTTCCTCCCCCGTGCTGCTGCGGGTGGTACGAAGAGGCAGAACCATCCCAATTGAGGCCGCTCTTCCAACCCAAGCAGAAAGAGAGAAGCAGGATGGCGGATTGGGCGCAAGATCACGAGCAATGATGTTGTTCCCCCTGGCCGCAGCGCCAGGCAAGCAGCACCAGCGGCAGCGCGTGATATAGTACAAGCGGTGGAGGTGCACAGGTAGGAGCAGCACCGAATCGCAGTTACATGTCTCAGCTAGATAGTTGCAGCTGCAACGGCAGTGTTGGATTTTGCGTTGCTCTGGAATACATGTACAGCAGTAATGACGTAATGACGGCAGTGGTCACCAATCAAACACATTTTCACATCTCTTTCCACTTTCCACCGACGAAAAATCGATACCCTGAGTTCTGCTGAGGCTCAGAACCTCCGTATGAGTCAATGTTGGTGGATTTTGTAAACCAGTTACACCCCGGCGCTAAGGTATCCTTCTAATGTTCTATTGCTGTTGCCAAACACTTTGAAGTATTCTGCTGTAGATCTTGTGCGAAATACGGTCTCCCCGCCGGGCTATTGCTGGAAACTGTGAATCATTCTAAAATTGTAAAAAAAAAAAAAGTTCGATCTACTTGTACGGCACGTACCCACATGTGCTTTCTTTCTGGTGAAAGAATTAGTCCGATTGACGTAGACCGTATAAAGTACCATTTCAGGTGCGTTCGTCCGATTTGTTCCGCCGCCAGCACACACACCTCGACATATATTAAGGCGAACAAAATGCTTGGAGTTTGACCACCGAGATCCAAAATATATCTTGTGGGGTTCATGTCGTTTTGTCTATAATAGGAGGTACATCTCATCAACTTGATTGTGCTCTACTGTTTGTGGTCTAGTCTACTGTTTTACTTTGTTGTGGCGATCCCGACCGCAGACGGTCGTTTAGTTTGTCTCGTCCCTCTCGTTCCCGACGACCCACACCACGCACACACGTTCATTTCTTCCCTAGCCCACAATCACAACAATCTCTACTACCTGTGTGTGTGCTGTGGGGCGTGGCCAGTCATCGTCACCACACCAGCGGCCCAGCAGATTAACCAATCGATCGCCCGCTTCCCCCCCGACAGCCAGTGTGAGTGGTACATATGTATCCCACGGCCGCTGTCTGTTTGTGCCTACAGAGTCGCGAAATGTGATGCCTCCGTACTGCAATACGATGGCAGGCAGTCAGTCCTCTTTCTACTACGCGGTGCACCACGTTCTCACCAAATGCCGTACTGTTCGTGAGATATGTAGTCTACTACAACAGTTGTGGTTGACTGGATACCTGAAACGTGTTTGTTTGCATGTCGGGAAGGTAGCGCTGCAAGGCACGTCGCAGGACGCTCGCCGAGCTGGCTGCACGCGCGCCCCAATAATGTTTTGCTGGTTTAATGTGGAACCCCCTCCCAAACAGCAGTGCCTTGCCCTCTCAACCCGATCGGGGCGTTTACCTGACGGTGACTGGGTTTTGCGCCAAGCAATCTCCCATCCGCCAGCAATTCCTTTCCGTTCTATGTACTCTACCTTGCTCTTGTGACGCCAACAGGTATGTGTGGTCAACTCCGCACACAGCCGCACACAGCAAACAAGATGTTTGCGCGGCCTAAACATCATATCATCGCCGTGTTGGCTCTCCTGTCCATGGGCCACGTTTCCGGCCAGGGTGTCAGCACGCCTTACGTGTCGTGGCACCTGTGTTATCACTCGACATGTGATCAAGCGCTTGTCTTTTTTCGCATCCATGGGGAACCCAACATGAGTGATAGAAAACTGTGGCGTTTTTTGTTTTTTGTTCGCTTCAAATCAGCGCTCACAGCACTGGTGCCGTTTAATCCCACCCGTGGTCACACAGAAGGGCCCCTCTCTACCCTCCCCTCCTGCGGTACGTTGTCTTCGAGTTTCTACGCGAGGATAGTTCAGGACTCTCTTCCTTCTGTGAACACACGAACTACAAGTAGCGCTATCCACTAGGCCAGGAGCTGAAGCGAGAGAAAAACTCACCTTGCAAGAAAAGCTCGCTTACGCCGGGGTTCGAACCCCTGACCTGATGTCCAGCTTTCAAGGATACCACCTAGACCACCGGGGCGCCCGTGGCCCAACAGATATTCGAATTGCTTCAGAACATGTAGTTCCATGAAGTCTCCGAGGGCACTTGAAGGAATGCATGGGCGCTTCTCATGCAGAGCACGCAACGCTCCACGTATGCGTCTGCTGGATACATTTTGGCGACATTCTTGCTACCGTTCGGCTGGCTTTTTGCCACGATGTCAGACCCTAAAACTTCCGTTCCTATCGCTGCCCGCTTGGTGTGTGACGTCGTCCTGTACAGTGCGTTTCGTCGAACCCGGTCATGACTCTCGATTTTACGGGACCTATCGCGACGAGTGGTACTGCCACGGGCGCTGACTTCACCAGGATCTCGGGGGACGTATCCGATGATCAAACGAGCCTGACGTTCGCCATCGGCGAGCCTGATCCAGATCCAATATACTGGTTGAGCGAGACGGTTGATCAATATCACTGGTATTGTGTTGTTTATTTTGACAACTGCGACACCTCCTACACGTGGAGCGACAACTTCGTCCAGCTTCCTACGTCGACGACGAACTAAACACCATCGATCTCTCCGGCTTTGAAGATATATCTTTCATCGATGAGCCGGACACCGGGATATGGCGTGATTACGGTTGAAGAGATTGTGCCAACTCAAGCATCACAATTTGTAAGGAATGGCTCGTGCCTCATGCATGCGTTACACTGCAACTTCTGTACAGTGTTCTGCTTGAGTGGTACAATAATTCACCGTCTGTGCACGTATTCTGAAGGCGGAAAGTCTGAATGCAAGATGGAAAACTGTGACGGTCTACCGCTTTGCCACCTGAACTGGACATGCCCGTGTCTTGCCCTTCTTGGGCTACCCTGGCAGCCACTCCTAGCCCGGCCACGCCATCGCCGCCCACCCCAGCTCCTGTCACCGACTCCACCCCTGCCCCCACTCCCGCCCCGACCATGCGTGGTGAGACATGATGGATGTGTTGGTATACAATAGACTTGGTAGGCCGCAATGTCGGCCGATACTCAGACTGTCGTGTTCACCTGATGTCAAACAACGATTCGGACGAAATTGGTTTTCCCAACGGAGCTCCTGCCGATGCTGTTCCTCCACAGTAACGACAAATTGCACCCTGTCCAGTTGGAACCGCCAATAGATAGAGTAGACAACCAATACAAGTACAAGCTAAAAGACGCTAAGTTTGTCTATCCCATTTACTCTTGGCGCCATCTCCACCTCCACATTTTTTCTAATACCGATGTGCCAGCCGGGGTCAAACATGAGGAATGCCGTACTGTATTATGAGGAACGGAGATGGGAAAAGATGGAATCTTTCCCAGCGCTGTCACGCAATAAAGAGGCAATATTTGAGACAGTCAGATGCGCCATCTCACTCTTTAATTGCCAACCCTGTTTCCACAGGGAATCAGCGATAAGAGAGTGCGCTCTTGAGACGGTTCAGTCGTCAGCCAGCACGCCCGCGGTCACCGACCCCGGGTTTTGCAGCTTAATAGACTTGGTAGAGGCCCCCATCCCAGCCGTATCCCAGGATCGTCTGGACCGGGCGACAACCTCACAACAGTCTAGCACTATAGATTCTCTGTTTTTCTCTCCTCCCCATCTACACGCCGCACCATCCTTCACCGATGAGCGCCACCTTAGACATCGACATGGCTACGGTCGCTCCTCCCGTCAGCATTGAGGCCATCGGGGACGTCGTCGCTGTAGCCCAGGGCGGCGTCCATGTATGGCAGCCGCACAAGCTCGCGATCCGCGCGGGCGGCGCGCTGCGCCCTGCCACGAGCATCCCCGTGGACGAGCTGCACAGTCCGTGCACCACCCTCGCCGCCGCGGGTGGTGTCTGGGAATGTGGCCAGCGGCACAGGCGGCAAGCGCAAGATCGACGACCTCGTCAGCGTGCTAGACGACATGTCGGAGCGTGGTAGCCTCGCCGAAGCTCTGGGCCAGGCGGGCGAGGCCTCCAGCGAGCCGACGTCTAAACGTGCGCTCACTTTTGTGTCCACCCCTAGCAAGGTGAGTCATGTGGTCCTTTCTCTTATTTGGGCGTTTCCACAATGTCCGGGCGATCCGTTGCAGTAGGGTTCCGCAGTCTGCTCCCACCTTTCTTCCTGCGACCCTACCGTGCGCGGGTTCTCGACGCTCGTTGCTCTCATGCCGGCGCTACTTTCTCCTGCCAACACCGTTGTAGCCTGTTTTCCCTCGCCATCCTTGTGTCTCGATTGTCCAAATTTTGAGGGGGGTCAAGTGTTGCTTGCACACGACTGCCTTGCCGTGAGACTGTGCGCTGCTCATGTGTTACAACCCACATCCTCTTCATGGCGTAGTTTTTTCCTACGTCATCGACCGCTTGCGTAGATTGTCGGTGTAATGGATCGCCCGGGTGCAGCATCTTTTTATGGTAGCGTCGTAGTGTTTGTTGTGCTTACACGTCGTTGTTCTGTTGCTGTGGCGTGTGAGTCCTTTGTGTATGCAATACGAGCGGCGCAACCTTCGCTGTGTTTCCTCTCTCGCCTTGCTCGTGGTATTCTGGGTCACCGCCCTCAAGTTTGCAGCGGTTGGACCCCATAACATATCATCTTTCCTCTCGATGGATGTGTAGTAACCCTCTCGGTGATTTGTGTAGTAACCCGCGCGACGCGATCCGATTCCTCGCTCTATGCTTCGCCAGCGTCTCCGTGTACTGGTTATTGCTTTACAATTTGCTGGATGCCATGCCGCACACACCTTCTCTTTCGACCACGCGATATTATTGTAGGCCACATTGTTCTTCCGTGGTTGCGTACCGTTCCGCGTTCCACGCTCTTTCTACCACGCTATTTCTAGAACGAAAATTGTTCTCCCATGGTTGTTTGCGTACCGCGGCGCCGCGTTAATCTAAGACGCAGATTGTTTTTCCATGGTTTTCTTTGCGTACCGCTCCGCGCACCACGTTCATCATTATTTCTTTCGAGATTCCACAATTTTCGTTTTTTTTTGCGTACCGTGCCGCGTACCACGATCATCACTATTTGTTTCGACCACGTGACTTCATAAGGTTTCGTCCATGGGGCTTTGCGTATTGTTCGCGGACCGCGCTCGCTTTTGCTTTCGTCCTTGGCTGGCCCACCGGTTATTGATTTGGAATTTGCTCGGTACCTTACCACCCATACCCTTTCCGTTCCACGCACAAGTTGGCACCTTCTCTTTTTTTTCTAGCCATGCACGGGAGTTTTCCAGCCCGTATCTTCGCGGCGGATGGTTTCCATCTTGAGCCAAGCCCTTTTTTTCGGTGGCCTTCCGTAGGTTGGTCCGCACTAGTCTGTGCCCTGTTCCCGAATATCCAGGCTACTATTTCCGTCGGGCTCCTTTCACGGTACTGCCTCATCCCGAGATGTTGTGCGAGAAGTGATGCTGAGTTCTCCCCCTCAGAGGCGCCTTTCGTTTCCTGTGGCGTGTTCATTTGTAGGCTCGGTTACCTATTTGCCCTCTCTCTTTCGTTTGCCAATAATTCATGGTCGGTGCGTGTTCCGCTCTGTTGCCTCGGCTCCGGCGAAACGCTTACGCGAGTAATAGTATATGTTCATCCTGATTCCCGCTCCATGGTTTTTCTCGGGGGCTCGTGCTTGGATTTCTGTTAGGCACGGTCCACTGCTCAACCGAGAGGGTTCCCGCCCGTTCCAAGGGAAGAGTGTAGTATGTTCGTTTCGATTCCCGTTGTGTGGTTCCAAGTGCTCGTGCTTGCATCTCTGATTGGCATAGCCCGCTACTCACCCTACGCTGTTCATGCCCGTTCTCGAGGGATCACTCCGTGTCGCTTTCAGCGTGTTCCGACACCACATACGCTCATACCGGTGTTCCAAATCAGTTCACGTTCTGTGCGGGCCATTTACGCTCAAACCCCGCTCCGACCCAGCTCATGGTCAAAAGTTCCGCTCTTTATTAGGTCGCGACTCATCCGGTCGTGGGGCCTGTGTTCTGGCCTGTACGTTCTGCATTTTTCGGTTACGTGGGCTCTGGTTCTGTTTCTCCTATTGCTTCTTGTCGCCGCCCGCTCAGCGCTTCCGAGGTTCCTGCGTTGGTTCGCACGCGCCGGTGCTCCGGCCGTTCGTTCGACTAGTGTTCATGTGTTCAAGTTACCGCTCCCTCAGCGTTCCCAATGTTAATGCGCCTGGTTCGCGCACGCCGATGCTCCGGCCGCTCGTTCGACTAGTGTTCATGTGTTCACGCTACCGCTCGCTCAGCGTTCCTAATGTTCATGTACCTGGTTCGCGCGCGCCCATGCTCCGGCCGTTCGTTAGGCGAGTGCTCATGTCTTCGTTCATTCTCTCCTCTGCATGCGTCGCGGCCTTCGTGTTCCCCCCCCCCACTTTCCGTCCTTTCATGCGGCCAGTTCAAAGCGGCGTTCGACGCTCTCCTGGGGAAAGCCGCCCTATTAGAACAGGTTCCTTACATGCAGATGCAGCAGAAAGCCGCCATTCTGCACGACGTTAGCAGCATGCTAGCGGAACTCTTGCGCCTGCCGATGCTGGATGGGTCGCTGAGCACGGAAAGAAAGTTCGTAGCAACCCTCGACGAGGGCGTGAAACACGCCTTGCAGGGTAAACAGTACGATGCTGCGGGCATGTGGCTCCACGGGAAGCTCATGAGCTCCTCGGAGGAGGGCCAACAAGTGGATAGAGCTCTGCTTATCAAAGAGCTCAGTGGCGTAGCCAAGTTTATTACGGTGCCAAGGGCAAGGGCGGAGGCGCCATGCCGTGGGGTGGGCCCCCTATGCAACCGATCGCTTTAGCCCCGCCCTTTGGCGGCGGCTACGGTGGTTCGTCGCCGCCGATGTGGCCCGCCGACCCGGCGTGGTCAGGCCCTGGTAGGATGGGCCACTATGGGCCTCCGCGCGGCCGTGGGGGCGGCGGAGGTCGGGGCAGCGGCGGCGGCCACCGCCGACTGCCCCTGTGTAGTAAGTGCCGGGCAGCTGGGAAGCAAGGGAATGACATAATGCATTCCTATAGGGTCTGCCCGCTGGTGCAGTGTAACAAATGTCAGCAATTCGGGCACATTCGCAGGAACTGCCCCAATTGATAGCGGCGTTTTCTCAGTTGCCTGGTTCGCAGACACTGCTCAGGATTAGTAGGCGTGGATCTTCTCGCCTGGTTGCTCCGAGAATGTTCATGGTGTTCATGTGCCGATGTCCACCCCGGACCTCAGCGATACTCTGCCGCATAGTCGTTCTTGTTGGCGTCGGTAAAATGTGCTATTCCTGCTCATGTTTCCTGGGATTTGTCGGTGTTCAAGTGGGACTATTCCCTTTCACGATTTCTACTAGCGAATTTTCGTTCTGATGAACTCATATATACCATGCAGGTTTTTCAGTTTTGCATAGTGGCGCGGAGCTTCGCACTTGCTTGCGGCCACACACGCTCGGGGTGTACCTTCGCCCTTACTCACACGCCTCTCCAAGGCGCGGGGAGCACGCGACGGGAGCCGTGGACCCGAATCCAGGGCGATGTTGCCCGACCCTCTCTCCCTTGTTGTAACACTTGACCAGTTGATACAGCCTACTTTCCATGCAATCCCCAGGTACCTCTGAACCTTGCCTTTCTCTTGGCTTGGACTTTGGTCGACGGCGAGCGCGCGGGATGGGTTTTTCGCTTAGGTTTTCGTCGGTTACCGCATACACTTGGTAACGCCAACATAACATATGTTCGAATATTCACATGAGGAGTACACTGCCCCTCTACCATGTCGGCATGTCCGATAGGCGCTTATGCAGCCAGTCCACCGCATGCGCTCTCTCTACGAACCTTTTACTTGTATTCAGGTTGGACCTGGCGCAGATCGTTTTTTAACCGAACGGGCGCAACGCGCCACCGCTGTTCGCTCGTAACTAGTGGGGGGTGACATCCTAAGCGAATCACAAGCGCGTATTTACGCCGTCGTTCTCTCAGACACGGCCTCGCTTCTGCTCAACAAACGTGCGCCACACGACGCTCGTATGTGGGTCACAGACGACTTTGTTCCAGCACATTTGCAAACGGCCGTTTCGTATTGGCGAGACGTTATTTTGCATGCAACTCCAGTAGGCGAAAGGGATACACTTCTGAGATGGGTACAGGGTGTTAGTGTGAACAATTTCGTAGACCAGGACGTATAGGGCACATTTCAAAGCCGCCCATACAACGGTTCCGACTTTACGTCAGTACACTTGCCCAACCATGTTCCAGCTGAACACCACTCGTGGGTCACCACGGAGGTGGGCGCCCTCGTGAGAAGTGGATGCGTTGCTAGATGGGCCGATGTAGCGGATACGACCGTTCACAGCAAACCGCACATGGTGCTGCCCCTTGGAGTAGAGCCCAAGAAACCCCCACTGATTTGGGAAGCGCGATGGCTCAACCTGATGTGTTTGCATTCTCCGTTCACCATGGACGGAGTAGGGAATGTAGCTCAGTGTGCCTGGCGTGGGGCTCATCAGGTGACCATCGACCATAAAGCCGGTTATCACCATGTCGCGCTGCAGTCGGACTCCTGGCAATACTTTGGGTTCGAATGGAACGGCGAGTTCTATGCATTCACGGTGGTCTGCTTCGGTTGGTGTTCGGCTCCGTTCATCTACTCTTCTCTGTCCGAGGCGGTAGCCAGGTACATGCGGTCGCAGGAGATTCCGGTGTTGACTTGGATCGATGATTTCTACATGACGAATTTCCGCTCCACCTGCGTCTTGCAATCCAAGGAGCAATTTGAAGCCCCTCAGGCGGTGGCCTACTTGGGGCTGGAAGTATTCTACCGGGCAAGGTATTTTATCTCAATACCCAATTGTATGCTCACGCCCACTACGCGCTTTGGTATCGTTTGTGACTCGGGTGCGTGCCGGTTTGAAGCGCCAGAGGACAAGCTAGTGAAGCTTGAGGAGATCTTGGTGGACGCCATAGAGGCGACCACTATTTCCTCTCAAATGCTAGAGAAGCTCGCGGGCAAGTGCACGAGCATTTCAGTTGCAGTACCTGTGGCAGCATTTTACACACACCACATGCACAAGCAGATAGCCAGTTTTCAGCGCACCGGGGGACGGCAACGAAATAATGGGATCTCTGTTGCTCCCAACAGCGGTCTCATGTTCGAACTCCGACGGTGTCTGGAGGTTCGGACTCGGTTAAACGGAGCTTCGTGGTACAGAGCGGAGCATTAGGCAGTTTCGTTGACAGGAGCGTCGGATGCGTCCTCTAGTAGATGGGGCTGTTTAATCCGCAGTATTGACCACAGTATTGACCAGGATGTGTTTGAAGCGGGAGGTGATTTTCCGCCAGAATTCGCAACTGAGATATTAATGTACAGGAGGGATATGCTCTGCACCAAACGTTGCAGCTGTTCTGTCTTAGCCACCCCCACCGCATTACGGGCTCCACTTTCGTGGTGGACGTAGACAACAAAGTTCTACACGATTCCTTTAACAGAGGTCGGGCACGTAATACAAGCATGCACGCTACGGTTACGGAATTGTTCTGATTGCAAGTTCAGCACGATTTTACGCTGAAGCTGCGGTGGGTGCGATCAGCAGACAACTTCGAAGCGGACGGTATGTCGAGGTCAGGATCTGACGATAACGTCGGACTGGACGAAGCACGGTTTGGCGACTTGTGCGCTTGGACGGGTGGTTTTGACATGGACTTGATGGCTACGCCAGCGTCGGTTCACATGGTTTGGAGCGAAGGGCAGTGCACGGGAACGACTTTGCCGTTCTACTCGCGGCACAACACTTCTGGCAGTGCAGGGGTTGACGTGTTTAGCCCGAACGTCAAGTGTATGCCCGGGTCGGCGCTAACGTGTTTTGGTTTTTGCTTTCTCCCGACGAACCTGGTGGGAGTGCTGTTAAAACATCTTGAAGAGTGCGCAGCACGAGCGGTAGTGGTAGTACTGGACCAGAAGCAGTCATGGTTTCCGAGGCTGGCGAGCGCCACGATGCGATCGAAAACTCTGTCCGTGCCTGGCGGGGATTCACCGTTCTTCCGTGTTCACCATCAGAGAGGTCGAGAGCGCTTCTGTTTCAAGAAGTGGGGAATGGTCGCGGTCGAAGTGGATTTTAGGCAACATTCTTGAACGGAGTTTAATTTTTTCGACCATTTTTTTTACCATGCGTGTCGGCGTTTCGTTTGCACATGCCGATTTCCTTTTTCTTCTTCAGGCTCTGACGCTATATATACCGCCATTAGCCTCGTCATGCAAATCTTGGGCTCTCTGCTCATGCCCACACGAGGGAAGCGGAGACAACAGAATGTTCGCGCTCTTGTAAGAGTGTCAGCGTAGAGGTTTAGAGTCTTGTGTCCGGCGTGTCATGGCGAAAACGACGAAAGCTACCGCTATTGTCAGTGGTGCGGGGGTTCAGTGGTGAGAAGTCAGCAACAGGTGCACAAGAACGCGCCGATCGAGATCGACGAGCACGCGCTCTCGAGTCGATACCGGCAGTCTACCTCCGCCTGGTCGGAAAATGCCTGAACCACGAGTAGATCAGCGACGTGGGACCTTGTCTCGAGATTTCTCGAATCCAGGTCAAACTGCGAAACCACTTGCGTAGAGGCGACACAACCTAGGGACGTAGTTGAGTTCCTCTGTTAACTGGACTCTTGCGGCACAAGGCATAGGGCTGTGGTTCATGCGCGTGACTGTTCCGCGGTCGGCACGAAGGATCTCAACGCGTGTTCCACGGAACCAGGGACGTGTAGTCTTAGATACGCGTACGATTCGTTCCGCTCGAACCATGTGTCTAAATTGGCTATGGTGTTTGGAAGAATTAGGAATCGTGGAGCCATGGAGTAGTGCACTGCACGTCGGAAACCCGGTGCGGGGCGACCTTGTGACCCGTTACATGGCATTCACTACGGAAGAGCAGGAACCAGCAGGGGTGTTGGTTAACCTGGCACCGGAAATCCTTCATAGCCATTTGGACACCATTTTGTGACCCATGAGGATGAACCTCCAGAACACCTCCTCCAGGGTACACGCTGGCTAGAGATATCGCCGTTTTTACAGTGACTTTTGGCACAACCAAGCGGGGCAGTGAACTCACCACAACGCTTATCCAATGTATCCTGCGGTTGCAGAATAGAAGCGGCCTCGTGTGTAACATCCAATGGGGGGAGACTCAGCGGGATAGAGCAGATCACGTACTGACGGTACCCTACGACGATGAGTATGTGGCGATATGTCCTGTCCGGGCAGTAACACAACTGGTAGAGGTTGGGAAAGGAGTCGGTTGGGACATGACGCAGGGGTACCTGTTTTCGGATATTTCGACGGGGCGGGACGGAGTGCCGTTGAGGGCTTGCTTGCCCGTGACGGCGCCAAAGATGGCCGCTGCCTTGAAAATGTACGCGGAGGCGGCCGGACAGAAGCAGCAATTTCCATTACATTCCTTTCGGTCGGGGGGAGCCATCACGCGGGCTCTTCAGGGAGATTCCTCGTCAACTATTATGCAGAAAGCGTACTGGAAGAACCCCAAGACGACATGGCGGTACATGAAATTGATGGAGGTGGTAGCCCCAGGTTCATAGGGGTCGGGTATGGTCCGGGGGGTGACCGAAGAGCAGTATCGAGAGCTCAACGAGTTCCCCTTGAGCGAACAAACTCGATCGCTAGCAGCGTTTTGCGGCCGACCGTTGCTGTAGTGGATCGCTGGAGGAGACACAAATGTATGGAGTAGTTCAGACCTTAATGTTCAAGAGTATGGGATTGTTCGAGCCCTACGAGAAGACGACATCAAGCGCAGGACTCGGGAGTAAGGGAAGGAGTGGATACACT